GGGGAAAAACAGTCTTTTCAACAAATGGTGCTGGGACAAGTAGATATCCACTTGCAAAAGAATGAAGTTAGATGCTTTCATCATACCATATACAAAAATTAATTCAAAATGGATCAAAGACTTAAATGTCAAAGCTAAAACTGTAAAACTCATAGAAGAAAATGTAGTAGTAAATACTTGTGACCTTGGTTTAGGCAAAGCCATCTTAGATATGACACCAAACACACAAGTGATACACAAAAAATAGATAAATTAGATTTCAACAAAATTAAAAAACACAATGCACAGGATGGGAGAAAATTTTTGCAAATCATGTGCTGTAGATTGGATTCCCCGCCAACCTCACTGAGGCTTAATCTCCACTGTAACTGTTGAGGGTGGGAAATCCTATTATGGTAATTAAAAAGTGGGGCCTTGAAGAGGTGATTAGGTTGTAGAACCATGCCTTAGTGAATGGATTAATAATGGTGGTCAAGGGTGTGGTTCTGAGGGCTTTAAAAGGAAAGTCTCTTTCTGCTCTGCCATTTTCTGCCATATGAGACCTCTGGGTCACTGTTGCCACCACCAAGGCCATGTATTCCACAGACTTTGGACTTCCCAGCCTCTGAAACTGTAAGCAATAAATTTCATTTTCTTTGTAAATCACCTAGTTTCAGGCATTTTGTTATAAGCAACAGAAACGGACTAATACATCATACATCTGATAAGAGGCTTGTATCTGGAATATATAAAGAACTGTTATAATTCTGAAAAGACACATATCTCAATTTAAAAACAGGCAAAAGATCCAAGTAGATATTTCTCCAAAGAAGATATGCAAATAATCAATAAGCACATGAAAAGATGCTTAACATCATTAGCTATCAGAGAACTGCAAATCAAAACCACAATGAGATACAACTTCACACCTGGTAGGATGACTATAATCAAAATGAGAGATAATAACAAGTGTTGGTGAGAATGGGGAGAAATTGGAATCCTCAAAAACTGAAAGTGGGACTGTAAAATGGTGCAACCACTTTGGGAAATAGTCTGGCAGTTCCTCAAAATATTAAGCATATAGTAATCATGTGACCTAGTAATTCCACTCCTGGGTATATGCCCCAGAGAAAAACACATCTACAGAAAAACCTGTACATAAATGTTCACAGCAGCAATATCCATAATAGCCATAAAGTAGAAACAACCCAAATATCCATCAAATGACAAGTGGATAGAGAAAATGTGGTATATTCATACAATGTAGTATTGTTGGGCAATAAAAAGGAAGTACTGGTACAGGACACAACACGGATGGTCCTTAAAAGCATGCTAAGTCAAAGAAGACAGTCACAAAAGACCTTATACTGTATGATTCTATTTATATGAAATATCCAGAGTAGGCAGATCTATAGAGAAAGAAAGTAGATTTGTAGTTACCTTGGGTTGGAGTTGGGGATAGGGATGGGGTTGTGGGGAAATGGGAAGTGGCTGCTAATGGGTATGAAGTTTCTTTTGGGAACAATGAAAATGTAGTAAAATTGATTGCAGTGATGGTTCCCCCATTGTGAATATATTAAAAACCATTGAATAATACACTTTTAAAAAAGAGGAATTATATGATATATGAACAACATCTCAAAAAATTTATGTTAAAAAAAGGAAACCTCTGGATTGGGAGTTATTGATGACCTTGGTAAGAGCAGTTTCAGTAGAAAGGTGGAAATAGAAGCCAGATTAAAAAGGGTTGAGGAAGGAATGGGAGATGATGAAGTAGGTAACAAATGTCACCTGTCCTTTCAAGATGTTGTGACAAGGAAGATAGGGTGGTACTAGAAAGGGGGCAGGTTTAAAGGGACTGTAATTTTTAAAAAGGAGATAGTCCTGTAGAGAGAAAGAAATTAAAGATATTAGATCAGAAGAGGTATGGGGCGGGGGGGGAAGACATGAGAGCTGTCATGTGCTAGAGCCCATAGATCCTTGAGCTGCAAATACTAGAAGAGGGTCTTTCCTTCCTCCTAAAATCTGCTTGGGTCTAGCCTTTTATTCTTCAAGATAACATGGTTTTTTCTCCAAGAGTTGCCATCATTCTCATTTTAACAATCAGTTTTTCCTTATTATTCTGAATTAGATTCGGGTAAGGAAAAGGATCACACTGCAAGAAATATTATGGTCCCCAAGGATTACACGACATACCTATTCTTTAATCTCAAGAATTGGCTTTGACATCAAAGCAGTGAAATGACAGTATTTCTCAAAAATGTTTAAGTTTTTATTCAGCCCAAAATAGGACTAATGCCATCTATATGGAAAAATGTGAAACTGCAGTGATTTTCACATTGTTTAATTCCCCCCCTCTTCCCCATATCTGAGCCTAGATAACTACTTTGGAACTATATAATATATCCATGAACCATTCCAATTTAACTATTCTCTGGAATTTAAATCTGCTAATAGCTTTTTCCTAAACTCAATTTCCAGGTTCATCATTTTCCAAGATTGAGTCCTACCACAGTCTTTCTAAAATCTTTGTTTTCTGAATGCTTAAACTCAGTTCCAGCTGAAAGCTCTTGACAGAATCCCTCACATCAGTCCAGAGGTGGTGGAAACTACTTTAAAAGTGTACTGATGTGTTATCTTTATTAATTTTCCTATTTCCAGGCCATAAATTATATTGTGATGTATACTCTGATGCTGTGAAATACCATTCAGGAATGTAACAGGAGAGTTACTACCATAGGGGACCGGCTCAGAAGTGACACGTTGGTGAAGAAGAAAGAATTTCTAACCTCCGCAATTATTCAGTGCAAGCAGCCTTCTTGCCAGATCTCATTTTCATCAGTTGGAAGTAAGCTCAGTGATGTGAATTTTGGTTGAACAATTTGGATCTAGGGATAGAACATTTCTGTAGCCATGGTGGAAGACAATTGTTAACAATCCTTCTATAGAAATGTTGGCATAGAAGCCAGAAGTGACGCAGTCCAGAAGTAATTTCATTACAAAGATGCACAGTGTTACATTATGTCATCATCCTGCCATCAGCCACCTTGACTCAACTTTGCACTGATGCTCACATAACATTAACATAAATGTAAGACAAAAATCTCACCATATTTTAGAAATACTGAATTATTTACTTTTTGCCATGTATTTCCTTATTCAATTTTGCTAATGCACACAACATTCATTTTAAATGATATTAGCTTTATTTATAGGAGAAACACTGAGAGGCTATTTTTAACTTCGTGGCTAAGAGCACATACTCAGGGGTCATGCTGCCTACATTTGAATCTCAGCTCTGACACTAGTTTTACAACCTTTTTCTCTACCTCAGTTTTTTCATAAGTAAAACAGGAATAACAACAGCACTGCCTAGGACTGCAGTGGGAATGAAATGAATTAATTCACATAAAGTGCTTAGAACAGTGCTGGGCATATTCAACGCCCTCAGTAAATGTTAGCCATTATTATTAACTCTTATTTTAACTAAGAAAGTAATTCACATTTGCTAATATGAATCTCAATATTGAATATAATATTAAGAAATTTGATAGTGCTTGAGGAAATGCTAAACAAACACTATCAGGTCATGGAGAACAAAGTAAGATTTAAGTCTGAAGTGGTGGAACATGATCTTGGGTTCTGGTTGTGACTGTACCACCAACTAGCTGTGTGACTCTGGGTCTTGCTTTCTTCATCTGTACCACAAAGAGATTTGACTACATATTGTCTGAAGTGAATTCTAGGCTCTAACGATTTATTCAATTATTCGAATTGAAATTTTTTTGTCAGCTAAGTAGTGCTATCTATACAAATCTGAAAAGAACATAAATATCTACCAAATAGTTTTGCATGAAGTTAAAGAAATGAAAAAAAACATGGACAGATCTCAAAGTCCAAAGTATGAGTTTGAGTGGCCCTATCCCTTTAACACATTTCCTTGTGTGAACATTTTAATGAGAGATCCACTAAGCAAGGCAGAGAAAGTCTGAGAGCCTTTCCAGGACTTTATAATACCGTGTCATTTGGATAGAGCTTAACTTTCTTGGGGCTGACTGACCACAGGTGGGACTCTTGGCCTGTGACTATTTCCTTTTTTTTTTTTTTTTTTTTTTTCCTTTTTGTCTTTTTTCGTGACCGGCAACAGATCGCAACCCTCAGTGTTGCGCCCGTACCGGACCGGGACCGGCAACGGGATAACAACCATCGGTGTTGCTCCCGCACCTTGCTCAGCCAGTGAGCGGCCGGTCTGTATGTGGGATCCGAAACTTCGGCGGGAGCGCCACTGCGCTTCCCAAGCGGCACACTGTAGCAGTGCGCCACCGGGCTGGCCCAGCCTGTGACTATTTCTAATACTGATATTCTTATATTAATAATGTGATATCCCATAACTAGTGCTATGATTTGAATGTGTCCCCCAAAGTGTTGGAAACTTGATCCTCAATGCAACAGTGTTGAGAGGGGGACCTTTAAGAGGTGACTGGGTCATGAGGGCAGAGAACAGATTGTTATCACAGGAGTAGGTTAATTATGGTGAGAATGGGCTTATTATACAAGCGAGTTCAGCCTTCTCTCTTGCTCTCTTGATCTCTCTTGCCCTTCTGCCCTCCACCATGGATGACACAGCAAGAAAGCCTTCACCAGATGCAGGCCCCCCGACTGTGGACTTCCCAGCCTCTAGATCTGTGAGCCAAATAAATTTCTGTTCATTATAAATTACCCAGTCTGCGGTACTCTGTTATAGCAACATAACAGGGACTAAGACAAATAGCTTTTCAGAAAAAACAAAATTGGTGATATAGCTTTTCAGAAAAAACAAAATTGGTGATATATCACTTGAAATAAAGTTGAAAGACTGACTTGATTTCTAGGATTACTAGACTTCTGAAAAACTTGTTTCATCTGAGATGACTAAAATAAAAACTCATGAAAAATAACAGAATAATGGCTTTACACACTGATTTATTTTAAAGCATAATGTATAATCACAAAGTATTTTATAAAAAATAGTTTTAAATGCATTTTTTTAAGCCCTAAATAAAGTCTCCACTTAGGATAAATACACATTTTAGCCATAACAGTGTAGTTTTAAAGGCAGACTTTAGATCTCTTAATCTACATGATGGCTAACAGTCAGCTTAAGAACTTTAAAAATGTACATATATAAAAATTGAAGATATTCATTAAAATGTTTTATTAACATTACATACAAACATTTGCCATATAATATGGGAGAAAGTTTCATGATCTACTTAGAATTGTTTAAATCCTTTATTTTATAATATTATCTTACAAAGTTACTATTATTATGAAATTTTCATTATACATTCTGGTTAAACTCCCTTACGTATCACCTTCGCTAATATTGAGCATAGGTTTGTATAACATATATATATATATACATCCTATGTATACACACACACACACACACACACACACACACACACACACACACTACTTTTTTCCCTCAGTATAATGCCTTTTCATAGGAACATATTTGGTCTAAGGAACGATCAAAGCATAGCAAAATGCTGCTTTAATTGTTTCATTAAATGTTGTGTATCCACATGATCTGGAAATGCTGCTTCAGACTTCTGTGCAGCAACATAACTTCTCTGTAGATCTCCAATCTGTAAGAAATACAAGACCACAAAGTGAGACCAGAAAAAATGAGTAAGGAAGTGAAAAAAAGACCTACTATCTGCATGCTGTAGAAACTAAACAGGTTCTTAAAGGCAAATTGCTTGATTATACACAATGCAATGGAGAACATGTGGGTATCGCTAGGAGCTGAGTGTGAATTTGGACCCCGCCACCGCCACTGACTCTAGGGAAGTCTTTTAACCTCTGTGAGCCTCCCATTCCACTAGAATGTAAGCTGCATGAGGTAGAGGCTTTTGCCTGTTTTATTCATTGCTACATTCTCTGTGCTGACAATAGCACCTGGTATATAGCAGAGGTTCAATAAACAAAACATCAGTTGTATAAAGAAATGAGTAAGGAAAGTAAGGGACACCTACATTACAGGGTTGTTGGGAGAATTACTAGAGAAGTGTGTAAAGCATCTAGAACATTGGCTCGTACTTAAGCACTCAAAAATTACAAATTATAAGTGACAGCTTATTTTATTTTCAAAACATATGAGAGTTCGGATGCCTTCATATCATGCTATGAAAAATAACATTTTTATGGGCCGAGCCCATGGCGCACTCGGGAGAGTGCAGGGCTGGGAGCGCAGCAGTGCTCTCACCGCGGGTTCGGATCCTATATAGGGATGACCTGTGAGCTCACAGCACTCACCGGCTGAGCGCGGCGCAGCCGGTCTCAAAAAGGACAAAAAATAAATAAATAAATAACATTTTTATGTCTTCAGTCTATAAAGCCTCTTACTTACATCACAAACATTTTTAGCCATCTGCTTATCCTCAAGAAAGACTTACCTTCCATGTCAAAGAAAGGTTTCCAAATAAAAGTTAGTTATTAGATGCCTTTTGTTTGTTTGTTTTCTTATTATTAAAAATGGCACATGACTTCTTTTACCTTTTGGATATTAATTGACTTGCAACAAAGTATTAACAGTTCCATTTCTCCCATACTGTTCATAGCCAAAATAAGGTCTTGCTTTCTTCATCTGTACCACAAAGAGATTTGACTACATATTGTCTGAAGTGAATTCTAGGCTCTAATGATTTATTCAATTTTTTGAATTGAATTTTTTTAGTCAGCTAAGTAGTACTATTTATACAAATCTGAAAAGAACATAAATATCTATCAAATAGTTTTGCATGAAGTTAAAGAAATGAAAAATAACATGGACAGATCTCAAAGTCCAAAGTATGAGTTTGAGTGGCCCTATCCCTTTAACACATTTCCCTGTGTGAACATTTTAATGAGAGATCCACTAAGCAAGGCAGAGAAAGTCTGAGAGCCTTTCCAGGACTTTATAATACCGTGTCATTGGGATAGAGCTTAACTTTCTTGGGGCTGACTGACCACAGGTGGGACTCTTGGCCTGTGACTATTTCTAATACTGATATTCTTATATTAATAATGTGATATCCCATAAATAGTGCTATGATTTGAATGTGTCCCCCAAAATGTTGGAAACTTGATCCTCAATGCAACAGTGTTGAGAGGGGGACCTTTAAGAGGTGACTGGGTCATGAGGGCAGAGAACAGATTAATGTTATCGCAGAAGTAGGTTAATTATTGTGAGAACGGGCTTGTTATAAAAGCGAGTTCAGCCTTCTCTCTTGCTCTCTTGATCTCTCTTGCCCTCCAGACAAGAGCTGAGAAGGTGGTGGGAGAGGAGATAAGTGGCCAGGCTCAGGATGTGACTTTGAGGTAGGACTGACAGGGCTTGCTGCATATGATGGGGGTCTGGGGGGTGGGGGTGTTAGGGGAAGCAGAAGGAAAACAGAGGATTCAAAGATGGCTCCTAGGAGATCTGAAGAAAGACCATTCCAAAGGCCCTAAAGGAAGACTGAGCACTGTGTGTCTGCCCTGCAGCACAGCAGCTGATGTGTCCGCAAGTCCGAGGGACAGAAGAAGCAGAAAAGACATAGTCTGAGAATGAGACAGATGCCAAATTATGTGGGGGCCTTATACGTTTGAAGTTCTGATCTTATTCCAAGTGCAAAGAGAAGGTACCAGAGGACTTGAAGCAAGGCAGTAATAAAATAATCAGGTTTTTAAAAAAAATCCCTTGGGCTGTTCTAAGAAAATATTATAGGGAGCACTTACTTGCTGATGTACATGGAAACAAAAAGACCAGCTAGGAGGCTCTTGTAGTAGTGCAGACAAGAGCTGAGAAGGTGGTGGGAGAGGAGATAAGTGGCCAGGCTCAGGATGTGACTTTGAGGTAGGACTGACAGGGCCTGCTGCATATGATGGGGGTGTGGGGTGTGGGGGTGTTAGGGGAAGCAGAAGGAAAACAGGATTCAAAGATGGCTCCTAGGATTTTGGCTTGAGCAGCTGGATGGGGGATGGGGGACGGTGAATGGTGAAACAGTTCACTAAGACAGGGAAGACCAGGGAGGAGCAGATCTCTCCTAATAACATCAAATATTCTATTATGGACTCAGAAAGGTGAAGTAGTTTGTCCAAGGTCCCGTAGCTAATACGTGACAGAGCTGGGATTCAAAGCCAGGCCTTTCAGACTCTGAGGCTCATTTTCAACTGATGACACAGAACGATAGCCACACCTGACAGCTTTTCTTTGAGGAAAGCAGGTTGCCCTCCGTGCCCCTGCTCGTTCACTGACCTGCTCCACGTGGCCCTTCCGCATCTCCAGCACGGCCAGGTTGTTGTAGGCCTCGGCGTGGTTGTTGTTGTTGACCAGAGCCAGCCTGAAGCACTGGTGGGCCAAATTCATGTCTCCTATTCCCTACGAAAGAAAAGCACATATTCACACACGTGAATCCACACATTTCCTCCTGCCATCCCCTCCCTTCCTTCCTCATATAAATCTTTTCCGCTATCATAGAAAAAGCAACAAGAACCGGATCATAGGAATCAAGGGTGAATTTCATGTAAGTGAACTTACTTGGGAATATAAAATGAGCTATGGTGACTTCCAGAAATCTCTAAATTACCTCCTAAGACAACAACCCGACTTGGATTTACAATACCTGAAAATTTCTTCTAACTGACTTTCCATAACAAAAATTATATCAGAAAAACAACATACCAGAGCTACATGTCCCAAGTTGTACCAGACATCAGCTGTCTCTTCTTCGTTTTCAGCCAGAGAACGGGCACGTTCAAATGAGGTCAGAGTCATATCATACTGCTGGGCATAGAAGCAACACAGCCCCAGATTGTTAAAAAGCTGGCAGTTATAAACACCCATCTGCAGGAGTCGCCTTTTCAAAACAGAGCACACAAATTTTGGTGTCAGACCAACTTTATAAATGTTAAGACGTGTGGGTGTGTATATGTATATTTATATATATTAGAGCTACAAATAAATTCACTTTTAATTTTTAACACCAGCAAAGAATATAAATACAAAGTGTTATAGCAAATAAAAAATCTTTTAAAGCAAATACAAAAGTGTATCTTTTGTAATGGTGCTACTAGTCATGGGAATGTATCCAGAGGCAAGGTCAGAAACACTTATCTACAGTTTTTTTCTCAAAAGCTTTGTTGGAGAACCAAAATAAAAAATAAATAGTCACATAAAGTAAAAACCACCCATTTTAGCTTTATAAAGTTTTGGTGCCCACAGGTAAATTCCTAAGACTTCCTAATCTAATTTGAGGACTGTGTTTAGCATTAATCTCTAAGTTTGCAGTTGAGTTGGATCCTGTTTTTGGTTATCTGTACTTTGTGGTTAAGCTGTGTCTACTGACTTCCAATAAGCTGCCACTGAGAAAGACAAAACCATCAGTGGATCCCTACATGATCAATTTTGCTTTCACAATGCAGCTCAAGATCCCTATTTTGCTTCTATACATATTCAAGATCCCTATTTTGCTTCAATACATCACTAATCCTAAGGGACAAAAGACAAGAGAGTTTAAATAAGCAAATGAAAGTCCAGCCCAGCTGCCCTGGGAGACCCATGACTTCGGGGGTGGGAGAATAGAGTCAGCTGCATGTGCACAGGACAGCATTCATATCATTATATTTTATGCTTCCATTATCTATTTGGAAAGAGCTCTTGTCAGCTGCCAGTCATCTCCTTGTATACTACCCAACGGCTGGAGAGGAGATCATAATTTAAAAATTAATTTCAAAAGCCACCTGTAGGATAACATAAGTATGTGGTCAATAGAGAACCGTTAGTGAACATAATTTATTTATACTATGAAAAAACATTTGGACAAGAGTTGACAATACTTCCCAAAACAGGTTATCCTGTTTCAGATCCTCATCAAGATTCAGAACATGGGGTCAACTGCTTTTTGCAAATCTCTTCACTCCTTCGGTTTCAGTGTCTTTGTGTAAATGATATTAATGGAGGCAGTGATGATGAGAAGTTTTCAGGTAACTACTAAACTGTTCTTAGTTGATGAAAAAGTGGCTAACTCATACAATGACATGGTGTTAAAAACTCAATTATCCAGGTGTGTTTTGCAAGATGCCAGATGTCTGCATGTTTCCAAACTATTGGATGTCACTTTGATGCTCACAAGACATCTGGGTGTTGGAATTTTTAGTTTTACATAGACATGGACTACATATTATTACTATTTGCATTACATCTTTGGTATTGTCTCACCAATATTTCACAGGAAAGTAGTTCTACCAATTGAATGTAAAGCACACCTGTAAAACCGGAGAGCTACTTCTGGTTGATCAGAATAAAAGTGGTTGCTTCCAATGCATGCAATGGCTTCCACGTGAGTATTGTCTTGTTTTAAAACTTCTTTGTAGTATTCAGCTGCTGATGAAATATTACTCATGTCCTATTCTCCATCAAGACAGAAGAAGAGCAATACTTTTAAAATACTGGGCAAGAAACTATTTTTTTCTGACTAAGTTCATTCATTCGATAAATATTTATTGAGAGCCTACCATGTGCCAGTCTCTGTTCTAGGCCCTGGGGACACAATATGAACCTCAAGGAGGTTACATCTGGTAGGGAAGACAAGCGAATAAACAAATATGTAATATAATGTCAGGTAAGGACAAACAGTGTGAAGAAAAACGGAGCAGCAGTGTGAAGAAAAACAGAGCAGGTTGAAGAGAGAGAGAGGGAAGGAGGGTGCTGCTTCAGAAGGGGGCTCAAAGGGGTCATTTGGCAGCAGCGCTATTTGAAGAGAGACCTGAGTGAAGTGAGGGATCAAGACCTGAGCCTATCTGGCGAAGTTCACTCTGGACAGAGGGAATAGCACACGTACAAGCCTGAGATGGGAACGCAATGGTCATGTGTGAGAACCACACAAAGACAAGTGAGGCTGGAAAGAGGGAGGGTGGCACAAAAGGAGACCAGCGAGGCAGCCAGCGCCTTTGTCAGCCATGGAAAGAACTTCAGATGTTTCCTTGCTAGATGAGAGAAAGCCATCAGAGGATGAGGAGCAGAGGTGTAACATAATTGGACCTGGATTTTTAAAGAATAACTTGGCTGCTTAGCGCAGGACACACCAAAATGGGAAAGAGTGGTAGCAGGGAGATCGAGTCCAGGAAAGAAATGACGGCAACCCAGACTGAGTCCAGAAATACATGCACAGTTAAAAACTAAAGACACTTCCTACGGTTATTATATACTTTTTCTAAAATACTGGTAATCATAAATCAATGCATCAAGTGTTACTAATGAACGCTACACCCGTCAGATGCATCTTCATGGCCCAGTTCAGGCTCCGCATCCTCCGAGATTTCCCCAGTGCCCTCACTCCACACAGCATCTTCTGCCTCTCAACTTACGTGATGTTTGTTCTGTGAACCACTCACTGCTCTTATCATAGGTGGACTCACATTTTTTGTTGGATTTCAATTACATTTTATCAAATCCAAGAGACTCCACCGATTTTACGCAGCACCATACAATGCTTTTCTAAACATAGGATTTTTATTTGATCTCACTGATAGACTTAGTTAGATGTATTCAGACATAGATTGTATCACAGATCACTCTTTTGGATATATTTTATAAAGTCTACGTAAAACATAAGCAAAATAAATTGAATATAGTATGCCTATAACTTTTTCACATTTAGAGTTAAAGTCTCCTGAATCCCTTTTTGACTTGGTCATCAATGTCCGGGTTTCTCCACGCAGTATTGTTCCAGTCACTGGTGATGTGGCATTTTTTTTTCATTTTATTTTTACTGACAAATAATAATTGTATATATACATAGGGTACAATGTGATGCTTTGATGCATATATACACTGTGGAATGAGCAAATCAGGCTAATTAATATCCTAAATTTCCATATAAGCTAATTATGACAACAACACGACATCAGGGACCAAAAGATGCTACCTATTGTAAGATGCAATCCAACCTCAGAGATGATAAAATGTAGAAAAAAATAGTGTTTTTAGAATCCATGAAATATGGTAAGTTCCTTGAGAGTAAGAGCATATGGAATACCTTTTCTTACCATCAAATTTAGTGCTTCTACATACTGAAAAATTATTAAATGAGAATTAAACAACTCTCAAAATTGTTCTTAGCCTCTCATGTTTCTACTAGAACAGAGGTTCTCAAACTTTTGGGTCTTGACATCTCCCTAAACTCTTAAAAACTGCTAAGAATCCCAAAGAAGTTTTGTTTATAAAGATTATACAATTAATATTAGGAATTGAAACTGAGATGTTTTAAAATTTATAAAGGTTATACAATTAATATTAGGAATTGAAACTGAGATGTTTTAAAATATTTACTTATTAATTTATTCTAAATAACATATAAGTAATTACCTGTTAACATAAATAACATTTTTATGAAAAACAGGCTCTCCTGAGTGGAAAAGGTCTGTAGGTTGTACATGCATGTCTGTGACAGGGTGAATTAGTTAGTCTAACTCAGAAATAAAAGACTATTACATCCTTTTGGCCATAAATCTAAAGCCACATGCTCCAATTCTGCTTTTATCAGTAATAAAGTTAATGGTTCATCCTCCATTTTTCTAAATCTTGTATTTATCTCTCAGTTGGTTCTCAACTTGGAGGACAAGGTTTTATCAGTCCTACAAAACACTAATAAAATATTCAGCGGTTGATACAAACCCATACTTTATATACATATTTTTTCATGTACTTTATATTTAAAATGCTTATTCAAAGGCAACAACATACTACAGTACAAATCTTCAGTGCTACAGCTGCCAAAGGTGGCAATGCCCAATGCAAAGGAGACTCAATAGCCAGTTGGTTCAATGCTCTGAGTTCTATAAGATTACTTTAGAAGACTTGTATACTTGATTGGTGGGCACAGAAATTAATTTATGTAATCTTGAAGAATTTTAGACTGAAACACTTATTTTGTTAGTAGCCTCATATGTAGTTTTTCACCTAAGCTTTACAAACTTATAAAATACAGGCTTATACTAAAATTTAAATGCCACAAAAGGGTATAAAATGAAAAGTAAAAGTCACCTCCCCAAATCCCAGTCAGCAGAGGTTCTGTTAATAGTTTCCTCAGGAGTCTTCAAGAAATTTTGTTAACAGATAAGCAAACATATGGGCATGCATGTTTTAATCATAAACAGTATCATTCTACACATTCTAATATACAATTAATTTTTTTCACTCTCTGTGTCTTTACTCTCTTTCCATATCAAAACAAAGAGCTTTACTTCATTATTTTTTTACTTATGCATGGTGTTCCATCAATACATAGACCATTATTTAATCACTCGCTTTTTGATGAATCATTAGTTTGTTTCCATTCTTTACCATAAAATATACTATAAAACCATCTTTGTACATGTCTTTGTGCAGTTGTATGACAACATCTTTAAGAAAAATTCCCAGAGTAAAATTGCTGGGTCAAAGAGCATGAACATTTTAAAATCTTTTCAGTAATTTCAAAAACCTTCCAAGTGGTTGTACCAATGCACACGCTGAACAACAATGTTCATATGTGGATTTTGTTTCTCTACAACCTTGATAACCCTAGATACCATGGAACTTCACCTTTGCTAATCTGATTAAGTGAAAAATGGCATATCACTGTTGTTTTAGTTTTTGTTTCTTTAATTATGGCAGAGGCTATGTATTTAACACATCGAGATATTTATATCACATATTTTTTCTGTGAACTGCCAATTCATGTCCTTTGACTGTTTTTCTATCCTATTCTATCTTTTGTCCTTTTATTATTGGTTTGTGTGTATTTTTTCTGGGGAACTGCCCTCATGGACACAGGTGAGCTGGAGGCAGAGATGTGGCTCAAGGGTCCCTGGGCATGGACTCTGCTTTCTCATTCCAAATGAAACAAGTGTGTGCTGATGGTGACTTCAGTTCAAAAACAGGGAAGTCTCAGTGTTTATAAACACTCCCTGCAGAGGAAAAGTATAGATGGTCTGATTAAGTTCTTCCAGATGGGTGTCACTAAGCCCTAAGTGTGAAAAGATGATGGTGTACTCAGAATGCAACTGGAACCTGGCTGCTGTCTCACCTCTGGGGTAAATCTACTTGCATGAAGAGGGCCAATGACCACTGTAGGCTAATAGGAAAACAAGAGCCTAGAGAAAAGCCATACCATGATATGTTGACCCACAACTGCTCTAAGGAAATACTTCCATAAGTGTTTACATTCCTGGCTAAATAAGTAAGAATTTATAAGTTCTGTACATGGGCACTTGTGTTTGTGTATATATGTATAGATCTCCCATTTTTAGCAACGTTTAAGCAATGTATAGATGGAGGAAATGAAAAGCAGTCTGTTGCCTGTACCAGGCAGGGCAAGTATTTCCTGTTTGATATTTCTACCTTTTGTTTTGTTTTGGTTTGGCTTTATTTGTATTTTTGTTTTTTGCAATACAGAAATTTAACTTTTATGTTCTCAGATTTATCAATCTTTTCTGTTATGGCTTTCTGACTTTGCGTTATGCTTAGAAAGATATTCTCCATTCCCATTGATACTAGCAATTCATCTGTGTTTTCTTCTGAAACATTCATGGTTTCATTTCTTGAAGTTTTATAATCTCTGAAACTTTAAATGTGTCAGTGATAGACTCTTCTAGTATAAGACATCATTATTCATCCAGCTCTATTTTTAAACTATTTATTAAATAATCCAATAATCCAATTGGCTTAATAAGTAATCCTTATCACATCTTAAATTTCTACATTTATGAATATACATCTTAAATTTCTACATGTATGAATATATGTGGACTCTATTTTGGTTCTTTACGCTATTCCTGCATTAGAATTGTTTAACTTAGACTAGCTCTAGAGTAGATTTTGTTAGTGTAGATTTAAAATAATATTTTCAAGTATATAAGAGGGTACTTCAAAATCTTCTAGGAAAGAGTCACATTATCTTTCACTTTCATTTCTTCACTTCAAGTATATAATAAACTTGGTATCATTTAAGTGATTTTTACAGTGGTTATTCTTGAACCAATTCACAAATTACTAACCATAATTAGATTTTTAATTTAAAATAAAATTGGAAATAACCTAAGAAAGTGAATGTTGCAGTGGTTCTCAGACTGCATTATGCTTCAGAATTACCTAGCAAGCTTATAAAAAATGCAAATGCCTGAGTCCCACCTTTCAGGACTTCTGATTTGGAAGAGGATGGGTTGTACTTCTCACATAATCCCAAGGTAATTTTCATAATACATAATAAAGTTTGAGGACCACTAGAATAACATCTGTGGGGTAAGGTTTCTAATTTCAAACACCTCTCAACAAAGAACACCTAAAATAAAGGCCTGTCTTTCGAATGGATAAACAAAATGCCTCAATAAAAACTCAAACCACCAAAACTAAAACCAAAGAAAT